GCTCTTCAGCTCAAGGCTAGTGCTCTACCACTGGAGCTACAAGGCCACTTCTGGTTTTCTGGTGGTTTATTGGAGATAGAGTTTCACATCCAGTGCTGGTGGCTCACGCCTGTAATCCTAGCTACTCAAGAGGCTGAGATCTGAGGATCATGGTTCAGTGACAGCCCAGGCAGGAAAGGCTGTGAGACTCTTATCTCCAATAAACCACTAGAGGACCAGAAGTGGTGCTATGGCTTAAGTAGTAGAGCACTCACCTTGAGCTGAAGAGTGCAGGGACAGGGCCCAAGCTTAGAGTTCAAGCCCCACGACTGACAAAAAAACAAAACAAAAAGTTTCACGGACTTTCCTGCCCGGGGATGGCTTTGAACCGCGATTCTCAGATCTCAGCCTCCTAAGTAGCTAGGATTACAGGTGTGAGCCCGGCTAAATCTTTCATTCATATTTTTAATTTATATTTTAACTTTGGAAGAGTTCTGAAAACTTAGTCCAGTTTAATTGACTATCTGTGCGCGCACACACACTGATCCTGGGGGGTTGGACTCAAACATGAGCTCTCATTTGGCTTTTTCCTCTCAAGGCTGCCAGTCTGCCAGGTTTTTTTCTTTCTTTTTCTTTTTTTTTTTTGGTCTGTCATGGGGCCTGAACTGAGCCTGAGCCGCTGTCCCTCAGCTCCTCAGCTCAAGGATAGCGCTCTACCATTTGAGCCATAGTGCCACTTCCAGCCTTTTCTGTTTATGTGGTGCTGAGGTATTGAACCCAGGGCTTTGTGCATGCTAGGCAAGCATTCTACCACTGAGCCACATTCCCAGGCCTGCCAATTCCTTTTTTTTGTTTTTTTCGGGGCTTGGAACTCAGGGCCTATCTCTGAGCTTCTTTTGCTCAAGGCTAGTACTTTATGATTTGAGCCGCAGTGCCCCTTCCTGCTTTTTTTTTTTTAAATTGTGATTAAGTGATTACATAATTCCCCAAATTTCACATTGTGGGATAGTGATGCTCAGTTAAAGTCACAAACACGTTATAACTTTCCTGGAGCAATTTGTCTATAACATTTATGAGTTCTATGAGCTTTGCCATATACAGTTATTTCTTCCACATTGGGTGGTATGTACATTTCTTTTGTTTTGCATAGCATCAGCTGTTCCCTCTTTCCCATTTGTTCCCTCCCTCCCATTGCTGCCATTAAGTTGCTTAGTTCATTTTGGTCAATGTCCTGTGCAGCTAATGGGTCCCGCTGTTGTATGTTTTTCCCTGATTCCCTCAAGTTCTGTGTCGTCTTCCTGGTTCCCCTATTGTGTGCATATATATACCATACATGTGATCAGCAGCATGGGGTTATTTAGTAGTGATTTGACCAGATGAGTGGAAGTTCTTTGTTTCTTAAGTCCTGTTAATTTTGTCGTATCACCTGACATTTTGGATTTAGCATCCACTTATCAGGGAGACCATGTACCATTTGTCTCTTTGCTCTTGGTTTACCTCGCTCAACATGATTTCTTCATGTTCCATCCATTTCCCTGCAAATGCCATTATTTTGTCTTTTTTTTTTTGCTGGTTGTGGGGCCTGAACTTGGTCTGGGCGCTGTCCCTTAGCTTTCATCTCAAGGCTAGCACTCTACCACCTGAGCCACAGCACCACTTCTGGCTTTTTCTATTTATGCGGTGCTGAGGAATTGAACCTAGGGCCTCATGCATGCAA